GTCTGAAGAAGACTTCATAATAAGAATGAAAAGGGAACTTCCCACCCCATCAGGTGCCAAATACAGAGAGCACAAACCCTTTCTTTCCTGTGCTGGTTGAAGGAAACGTGCTTCCCCACGATGAGCCAAGTCCAAAGCAAAGGAAGATCAGCAGCCTCTGCAAAAATGAACAGCACCAAAGCAGCTCTTCCACCAGAGATGATACAGAATGTTAAGAAAATATACAGAGATGCCTCGCCTCTGATGCTTCTGCCCTGATTGAAAGGTAATAACTTCATGAGGAGAGAACAGACGCCTTCTAGCAATGATTGTTGAGGGAGAAAAGGCCAAGTAAGTTCAAGACAAAGTTCCTTTAAAAATCTTCACATGCTGATAATGAGGGACACTAACCAAGGGTGCGACTGAGTTTTGATTTTTTTTCATTACAATTCAAAATGAGTTCAAAAAAAGCCAAGCAAAAACGTCATCGTCTTCAGAAGGTATCACGCACCTTTTGAATAAGAACCTTGAAGATACCATTTTTTTTTAAATTCAGTCCTTGCTTATCCTGACAGCATCATTTGATGGCACGATACCCTGACTCCTGACCAAATGGAAACACTGAAACCTATGCAGTATTCCCCAGAGCTGTGGGCTGCTCCTCCACCACCACATGAATGGTTATGAATGGGTTTGAAGACACATTCTAATCCCAAAGCATGTCGTTTCAGCACTTCACCGCTGTAAACAAAATGTGACAGAGAGCAGCAGGGCATTACGTCTGAATTGCACACAGGAATGGGACGCTGTCTGCCAGATTTCTCAGCCAAGAATAATTCTCAATATTGTTATTATCTTGGGCTGTGTGTGGTAAGCTAATTTCCACTTCCAGTTATACCAAAGCAAATTCAGAGCAACTCCATCAATCGAATTATTTTAAGTCAGAGGATAATCTGGCTACGTGCATGGGTGCATACGGACCTGCATCCATTCCTGAGATGCTCAGGCAGATCAGCTCTGTGGCGCTCATGTCAGAGCCATGACAGAATGCTTTTCTGAGATTAATAAGTGACAGAGAGAAGGCTGTTTCCAATGGAAAAAGGAAGCCAAGAGCTGGCTTGTTTCCATGGAAACAGTAGCAGCAGCAGGCAGAACAGCTGTAGAGAAAAAGGCAGAAGTTAGGGAGGCAGAAATCTTTCTGATTTTACCTCACCGCTATGTCAGTGCCACCAGATACCATCTAAATTTAATGCAGATCAAAGTGGCTTACCTTGAGCGGGTAACTTCTTAAGCAACTACTTGCAATTAAGACTCTTAACAGCCAGCATTCCAGAAATGAATTAATGAAAAGTACTTATGAGTTAGCCTGTGCACCTATGAAGCCACGGAACGTGCGAATACCCATAGCAGTGATGCGTCACAGTGTTTGTCCTAGGCACAAAGGTGCTGTTGCTTTAAAAGCAACCAATGTAAATGAACAGATTCTTTTCCCACTTAAGAATAAACACTACACTCTGATTATCAAGATGGCAAGAGGAAAGCCTACTCTTTTAGTTTCTTCGTAATCTCTACTCTCTTCTTTATACAATCCTATAACCATTTTCACATTGGAGAAAAATCTTCGCAAAGCACAAATTTGTAAGACTTGCACTTAGAAATTAAATGCCAGTTCTATTTTTAATAAAGCAAGTAAGCCCTGCACTTCACTACTGATGTACACTCTGAGCTGGCCATATCCTCCCCACTCCATTCATGGTGTGTCTGTCAGACTATCCCAGCAGTGCTGCTTCCACCAAAAATAAAAGCCGTTTGCATCCTGAGCAGCCCACATAAACCACCCTGGTACCCAGTATGTATCCACCTACCTGGAAAACAGTGCACAAGCCACCAAAGAAAGACGCAAGTTAACTTCACTAAGAATGCTTTCCCATATGATTTCTGGGGCTCTAAGCCTTGAGGGGACCCATTAACCCCATTCTCTCCCTTGCTTGCCTCCCTCACTTCGCCAACCCTTCCCACAGCTGACCTCTCTGAGTGCTGGAGGCTAGAAGTGTCACTGCAAGCAGCCTCCAAAGGCATCATCGCAGGTACAGCCGCACACAGGAGCTTCTCTTTTCCAGCAGCACACAGCCTGGCATCCCTGTCCCATCCCTGCTCTGTGCATGGACAGACAGGCTGCTCCTGGGGACAGACAGACAGCTATGAACACTGCAAGTCCCCGTGCAGCTTCTAGTTCCTGTGCTAAATGCAAGAATAATCCACATCCTTAACAAAAATCAATGATGAAACTAATTATTTCTTTAAACAGCATCATATTTCAACTATTATTCAAAAATAAAAGGCCTTAAAAGCTTAATTAATTTGAAATATGGTATCTGAGATTGGCGCTGACATTCCGGGTCCCGCCGGGCATCTGCAGACACTCTGTCAAACTCAGTGCTAATTACACCTCTCGTACTTCCTTGCAAACTATTTGGACGTCTCTCTGCACATTACTAAAGCATAAAGAGCCCCTTGTGCTCACGAGCCAAGGACCATCAGAGACTCCAAAATACCCCACCGTTGTTAACCAGTCACACACACAACACACTGTGCAATAGGAGTTAGGTACAGAACTGCATCACACAGGAGGATTTGGCTGCCCAATGTGTCTCGTGCTAGGGCAGCTCTTACACTGGGACCTCTCCATCCAGACAGCAGTGCTCCATCAGAGAGCAATCTGTGAGAGGCAGTTTCAGGGAGCTCAAAGCAAAAGCAGTGCCACTGCACCCTTCCTTACAATCCACAGACACAGAAATCCAAAATGGTGAAATGAAAACAAACGATATTCAGACGCAACTCCTGAACTTGAGATACAAAGGAAAGCGTTGCAGGTTTCAAAGCAATCGCATGCGTACGATGCGCATTACATTTTGTATTTACAGGAAGTATGGCTACCAGATGTCACTATCAAACTGCATATATTAAAGTTGATTTTTTCAAGTCCTTAATGCAGTACACCTTTTTGTCAACAGATGAGTTCCACTGTTTATATAACATCGCTGGATGGTCTTGCTAGAATAATCTGTGCGTGCACTATCCCCCAATAGGTTACCATGGCAACTTATATTTGAATTTCTATAAATTTCTATTTTTAGAGACTACAGTTTAGGATAAAGAAAAACAGAAATATTAACTGCCACCCCATTAATAACCAACATCCAGTTTTTCTCAACATCACGTTCCTCCGAACAGACAGTGCGGAAGTTCAATCAGGCAGCACTGCTACGGATCACCACCGTCATTAAGAAAGTTTACCAGCAAACTGTCTCACCACCACCCCAGCAGCGCATTAGTCAGGAGCTCGCACTGCGAGGCACAATTGATGCTCGCGGAGCTTTTCTTGCGCTCAGTAAGGATCTCACCCAAATATTTTTAGAGTTAGTCATCATTTCAGCTGATACACAACAATGCTGCGTTTGCCAGAATACTCAGAAAACAAAGTGTCTATCTCAGGTGCGGGGAAATACTGAACTGACAACGGCAGTTCAGCTCCCAGCTGGGTGTACCACCACCCAAACTGCCACGCACTGGGGTGTGGGTGCAGGCGTATGCTGGCCCCGAGGCACAGAGGTGCCCCATGCTTCCAAGTTGCCAGCAGCAATCCAAGCAGCCTGCCTGAGTGGGGGGGTGCAGGGGGAAATGACTGCACAGAGCAGCAGCGCTGAACCAGAACCAGAACTTGGACCTGCAGCTCTGGCATTGCCTCGCTCTGCCTGCCCGTGGCTGAAATCAGAACATATTACTTTAAACCCCTTTCTAACTTTACGAAGCTAAATATCTTCTCTAATAGATGATCATTGCCAGCGCTCCACAAAGTTCAGTGTAAGGCTCCGTGCCATTAAAGCTGCAGATCTGCTGCTGTCAGCAGCTTCTCCAGGAGCGGTGGGGAACACCACACTGCTGTTAGGTCAGGTACCGACAGCTGAACTCTGCTGAGTTCGGGCAGCCAAGATGTGAGCTGCATGTGTGTCCTTAATGAGCAACAATACAAACACTACCAATGTGTATTCCGAACACAGCCTATTCTAGAGACAACGGGGGCACCAGCTGGAGCTCAGCACCCCCCGACACCCCACTCTCTGTCAGGCTGTGGTGACTCCAGTGGCACTGTTGGGGACAGTACTGATCACTGACACAGGATGAGGTCTGGGTTCTTCACAGAGACACCCAGTGAAAGCACTGTGAAATGCTTCCTGCAGCTTTAAATCCAAGCCCATTTCAACCACGAGCTCTTTCTCATGTGCTGCAGGCAGGACTCGCTGCTGGGTGCTCTTCCCACAGCTGAGTTCAAAGCATCACTGCATACTTCTCCCAGAGGTGTTACAACCATTTGCTTGTTCCATGGGTTAGAAAGCAAAACCCATCACTACCAACAGCAGTAACTACAAGTCAGGGCTGAAACTTGCACCGTGCTCCAGCACAGAAGAAAGAGCCAAAATCTAAAATGCCACCTGTCAAGAACTCGCTGAGGACCAGTGTTCCCTCACAGCCCTCAGCTGCAGAGCAATGAGGGCTACCCTGACAGGCAGAGGGCAGGTGGCTGCCCTGTCACTGGGTCCCACAAAGCTCATCAGGGCAGGAGCACCGAGCAGGAGCTGCCAGCAGAGCCCTCCTGGAAGGGCTGTGGGCAGCCACCACCTCATACAACCCAACACTTCCCTGAAAGCCAGAGCACATGGCACATATACAGCCTTGCATGCCCCCAGAATGAGCACTTAGAGCCCACTGGCACACAGCATGGTCCCCCAATCAGTAGCACTCCCACATCCCCACTGAGACCAGGACGGCAGGCACAGCTCAGCCCAGAGGGGCCGGTGTCACACCTCACAGCACCCCACCACGGCACCACTCCACAGCCCACTCCGCGGAGGCTGACCTCCACCAAGACGCCCCACGCTGCCAGCACCCCGAGGCACCACCACCGCCATCACCCAGACGTGACGACGCATCTCCCGGGAGCGCCGTCGGTGGGCGCTTACCCTGGCGGCCCGGGAGGAGTAGGGATCCTCGAAGAGCGCCCAGACGCGGGGCTGCAGCCGCCTCCAGCGCCCACCCTTGCCCTCGGCGGCCCCCGCCACGTCCTCGATGCCCAGCCGCTTGGCCGCCATGTCGTCGTCGTCGCCGTCGGGAGGCGGCTCGCCCGTCAGTAGATCGGGCGCCTCGAAGATGTCGAGCGCTTCCTCAGCGTCGCGGTGCTGCCGGTAGGTCATCCAGCAGCAGGGCTCCACGTCGGTCTCGTCGATGCCCCAGAACGCCAGCTCCTCCTCGAAGAGCGGCCCGCACACGTCGGCGGGGCAGTGCAGCTTGCCGGTGCGGTAGTAGTTGAGCACATAGGCGAAGACCCCCGGGTGGCGGTCGAAAAAGAACTCGCTGGCCCCGCCGCCGCCCCGCGGGCTGCAGCCGCTGCCGGGTTCGGGGCAGCCGCCCGCCGGCGGGGCCGCGTTGGGGGGCGGCGGCGGCGGCGGCTCCTCGGCGCCCGGAGACTCGCCCTGCGACTCGGCGGCGAGCAGGGCCAGGCGGGTGCCCGGCAGGGTCTTCAGGGTGCTGCGGTAGGTCTCGTGCCGCGTGCCCCCCACGTTGAGGATCACCCTCTCGTTGTCCTCGAGCTTCCCCATCGCTCCGGGTGGGACATGACTGGGGCGGCGCGGGGCGGAGGAGCGGGACGAGCTTCTGCCTTCAGCACGGACAGAGAGAAGGAATGAAGGAGAAGCCCCCCCGGCATCCTCGCGCCATTCCCCGCCTATCCCGGCCTCCTCCGTCCCACCCCGTTTCCCGGCGCGATGTCCCCGCACCGAGCTCTGCCTCTCGCCGCCCCCAACGGCTCCGCTCCTCCTCGAGTCGATGGCACGGAGCGCGGGCAGCCGGTACCGAACCGCGCCTACAGACTAAGCACACAAAGAGACGTGGGAGATCCGCGTCTCTTCCCCCTGCCTCTAACCCTGAGAGGGGAATAGCCGCGTGCGAGAGGACGCGAGCCCCGGCAGCAGCAGGGAGGGCGGAGGTCGCTGCCTCTCAGACGCGCCCGCGGCTGGGAGAGTCGGGGAAGGGCTGCTCCCGGCCCCCGCCCCTCAGTACCTGGACCGGCGGCCCGGCGGCGGCTCCTCGTCTCGGGCGTCGGCGGCTGAGCGAGAGCTACTTGTTGTATTGCTCCGCGTTCAGGTGGCCGCGCCGCCTCCCCCCGCGCTCAACTCCGGCGGACGGAGAGGCGGCTCCGGCCGCCCTCGTGGGAACCCCGCGGCCATGGCGCACCGCGGGCGGACACCTGAGGCCGCGCCGCTCCGGCACCGTGCGCGGGGAGCCGAACGAGAGCCAAACCACGGCCGGGGCCGAAGCTCCGCCCGCGGCGGGGGCAGCGCCGCCCCTCACAGCTTTCGGCCCCGCCGCCGTGTGCGGGTCTGCTTCGGGAAAGCAGCGCGGAGGGATGGGCGGGTGGCTGCGGGTGAACGCATCGGTACACCCCGTCCTCCGTGTGCTGAGGGAGGGGGGAAGGAGGACAGACCGAAGGTGAGAGCTCCTGTAATGTACCAGAGGAGCGAGTTGGACCCTGTCCGTGCCTGTGCCAAGCTCGCTGCCTCCAAAGAGGCTGAACCGTTTCATACAGCATTCCTTTTTATATTCCTTTTTGCTCTCTACTGAAGTTAGTCAAAGGGAAGTAGGCATTCAGACTCAGGGGCTGAAAAGAGGGGCTTTCAGCCCTAGAGGCTCTGCCTGCCAGGCAAAGCGAGAGGCGATTCCTCACAGTGCTTCCTCGGGAAAAAGTTCTTCCTCCGCACGCAGGGCACTGCTGGCACAAGACGGGGTAACAAACGGGATAAGGCTGTCTGAAGTGTCCCCCTCCATGTCAGAGACTCTGGCTGGACGCTGCTGACTTAGGGGGGCAGAGCTCTGCTGGCAGCGTTGCTCGGAGGACACCGTGCTTTGACCACGTTGCCCTAACCCAGATCTGTCTCTGTGGGGCATCCGTGATGTAAATACAGCCACCCAGAGCAGCAGCAACTTTCAGAAATGAGTTTCAAAAGCATGTTGCTGATGTAGGTTTTGAAGTTCTTAAAAAAAAAAAAAAAAAAAAAAAAAAAAAACCTGGAATATTTCCTGCCAAGGTAGAAAAAGTCAGTCAGGGAAAACTCCTGAGAGCCAAAATTAATATTCAGTTATAGAGTTGGAAATCCGATGGAAAGCACTCACCTATCTTAAACCAGTGCAGTGCTTGCTTCTCTTTGCAGAGGGGATTTGTGATAAAGGGGACACAGGGGAGAGCAGAGCAAAATGAATATTCATCATCTTCCCTCTGACCTAAGAGAGGTTTCTGGAGAAATGCAACACAATGGAGCACTGCAGCATTCATCCCTTATGGAAAGCCATGGGGTGGCAGCAGCTGCCAGAGCACCAGGCAGGCTGTATCAGTGCAAGTGCTGGGATGGCCCCTTGGCTGCCACTGCCACCCAGAGCCCACGTCCATGTCAGGATCTGGCCTAAGGTCTCCTTCACAAGGACCAGCCACCACTACAGGGACTAACAGGGATGGCATCTCACAAGCAGAGTTTTACTGTTGTACCCCATAACGCAGACACCATGAGGAAGGCCCGTGTTATGAGAAATTAGCTTATGCTTCAGACTTCCTTAAGATAGAACGGGGGGTGGGGGGGGTTTACTTGTGGGAAAGAATAAGCCACAGAAATAATTTTTCTAACTGGTAAGACAAGAATGGTCTCTTCTATAGTGTAACATTCCATCAGTCAAGTCAAAGCATCTGTATCCTACAATCTCTGTTTCTAAATATAATGCTTTTCATTTCTCTGTGTCACTCTTCCCTGTGTTTCCAGCATGCGGCACATTTCTCAATGAAGGATGAAATTATGTCAGACATTAAGTTCCCAGAGCCAGCGTTTTATTAAGTGATACCAGCGAACACGCAGACAATATTCAACATAGGTGGGAGAATTCGCAGTTATGAATTAATTTCACCCCCCACAGGACACAGAATTTTGGCACCACCATTTTGCAACAGAAGCAGAAACAAATTAGACATGAGTACAAGAGAAGCGTGCCTGCCAGGTTAGACTTACCATGAAACATGTCTGCAAACAAACAAAACAAATTAAACCTATCCACAGACTGTCAAACATTTTCAGGTAAAAGTTTAGTGGGAACATTTCTGTAGCTCAGGACTGTGAACTTTCCATGAAGAACTGAGTGACACTGAGCAGTACACAACCAATTTTCCCTACTGGGTAGGAGGGTTCCTATGGGATTGCTTTAACTGAGAAAGCAGTGACATCAGATGCTATTAGATGATGAGCATTTTAGCTACTAGAAGCTATATTCTTCTTGCAAGCTTGAGTACTGCAGTGCAAAGTCATTGAATGAGCAGCTGTCTAAATGAAATAAATGGGAGAAAGGACAAGGCAGAAAAGAAAAGCAGATCTGATGGAGAAAGCCACACTCTAGATTCACCCGCCCCTCCATAGGAGCTCAGTTGACTAGAGGCAGCTAACCTTCCCAGCTGCCTCCTGGGGTGAAACACAAGGCAGAAGCCTCTGAGTTTCTCTGGTGTGGGCACCATCTCTTATTTTTCATACGATGTTGTAATTGGAGAACGAAGAAATCAATTTTATAATTGAGAATTACAATGAAGATAGTGCAACAGCCAAAATATGATCAATTTATATCAGGTTAGTTGATGATTAAATAAGCAAGTAATTATTTTAAATATTTGCCATCATTAGCATGTTATTAAGGTTCCACTTATTTCTTTTGCTTGTTTTTCCATTCTCCCTATTATTTATAATCATTCTCACTGTTTGCATGTACTAATTCATTCCAGAACTTGTGCGACGTGACAGCCACATTATACTGAAGTGCACTGGTGATAAATCAGAATCACCATTCGGAATTTGGGGACAAAGAAGAAGTCTTGGATTAAGTAAATGTCTGTAAAATACAACTGTTAGAAGCCATGGGGTAATTAAACCGCACAAGGCTAGAAGCAGAGCCAGCAGGAAGATGTCATCATTTTTCATTTCTAGAGCACAACTGCATTTTTAGTCAATGCAGTAGAAATGTAAATGTGGTTTGATCAATACCACAGAATTGGTGAAAATAGGTCTCCTTGTAGAAAATGATCCAAAAAAGCAACTGAGATTGGATGAGATGAACAAAATGTGGAAGTGTTCGTGCTCTCCAATACTCCCCCCGGAGCAGGCAGAAGTCCCCAGTATGGGCCAGTGCACGTACACAGATGTGTTCCACCCACCTTCTGCCATCACAGATCTTCAGCTCTTTGTGCCATCCTGGTGAATGGGGTGTCACTCACTGGAAAACAAAAAACTGGGAGAATTCCTCTTATGTTATATATATTAAAGAAAGAAAAAGTAGAGGACTCAAGTCTGGGGTCTACTGAGAAGCCACAGCACGTGTTGGAAACACAGGTGTGTGCTAACTGCACTGCCAGATTAGTATTGCACAGCACAAGTAGGGTGGGGAGCGAGTGGTAAAATCCATAGCTTTCCATATGTTAAAATAGGCTTTTGGTTTCTCTTTCCAAAAGAGGGGTGTTGGGAAGCGACATGCCCACTGAGCTGGGACTGGCACATTCTACGTTGTGCAGCTCCAGATCTTCATCACACCCAGCTCCCATTGCAATGCACACTCCACTTAGCATCAATCAATATTCCAGCTGTCATTGAACAGCTAGCCCATGTTTCCAAAAGAATAGAACCACTTACTAAAGTAATTTAGGAGTGGTTTTATGTTTCATTTAATGGCAATTTTAAGGGATCTTCTCCTGAAATCAATTCAAATCTGATATAGAACCAGCATAAGATGGTGATTTATCTGAGGAAGTCAACAAACTCTCCTTCAGATGACATCAAAATCAATGGAAACACACAAAAGAACCACAACCATTTTCAGACAGCTCCAGCATTGCTCCACCCAGTTTTTTTGTTCCATCACAGCTGAACTAGAAATCCACCCCATCTATCATTTTCCTCCTTTCTGTGACTAACCGACTCCATTAATTTCATTAATGTTTAATAAGAGACCCCACTTTATCTACTCCAACAAGACAAGGGATCTGCTTTAACAAGTTATCTTCTAAGGACATGTGCACTGGTGATCTTTCAGGCATTCCTGGAGGAGCAGCCATTTTCATTGATCACTGATTTTTTTAATAATGATTAATTCTCCGCTATTGATCCAAGGAGTAACAATTATGTTTTGCAATGGCTTTGTTCTCTCATCATGAGCAGTTACAGTTTGTCTGTCAGAAGAAAATCCCTGGGATGCAAGTGGCAGAAGTCTCACACAGAGTCTCAGTGACTGAGGCAGGCAGATCTTAAATCTGATGCCGTTTCTGTGCAGGAAGCAGAGGTTTCTTCAGCGTCTGCAGTCTCATACAGCAGATCCAGTCTCACTGTATGCAAGCTTGATTAATTTTGACTGCTTCCATTCAGTTGCAGTCAAGTTTTTCTCTCTGACTTTTTTTTTCGTACCACTCTGCAGACAAGATTGCCCAAATCTGGACCGAGCTGTCTACTGCCATGGAAACAGAACAGTATTCTCAAGAGATAAACACTGCATCTCCTCTGCTAGCACTTCAGCCTTGTTCACAAAA